TAAAATATATTATAATAATATTTTTTATTTTTAAAAAAATTATTTTTAATATTAACCTGTAATTTAAAAAAATATTAATTTAAAAATTTAAAATTAAAATTTTAAAAAAATATTTTTAAAATATAATATTAAATACACCCTAACTTTATGTAGCTTACAGTCACGAAACCCTCTTCTTCTTCTTTTATTCCTTTTCTCGGAGTGTAGGGTTCCTGGCCACTGCTCTCTGGTCTTTAGCACTAAATGCAGTGAGATCTGACATGCTTGGATTTGTGAAATCATCCTAACATTGTTGACAAAATCAACAATGTTAGGTATAAATTTGGTGTCACCTACCTTGCTCTTATCTTTTGCATAGATGTTTGCCTATAAATAGACAATGTATTCAAGCATTATAGACACACCATAAGAAGTGTTGATTTTGTGATTATTTGCATTATATTTGATCATTGTTTGATTCTGTTTTACTGCACAAATAGGGAAAAAATTGGGACTTGTAAATTATAATTGTATTCCGCTAAATTGATCCGGATAAATTGGTATCCGGTTGTTCCGAGTTTTCCCAACATCTTCTTCTTTTGTTATTCCTTTTCTCGGAGTGTAGGGTTCCTGGCCACTGCTCTCGGGTATTTACCACTAAATGCAGTGAGATCTGACACGCTTGGGTTGACTTTCAATTGAGGAAACAGATCAATTCCTTTGTATTTAATTTTAAATATAGTTATTTTCGTCCAAGAAAATATTTAAAGCCCAGAAACCCTTGAATTTGACTAAACGGAAGCCAGTATGAAAAGAAGAATTCATAGGGCAGGCTGTATTAGTATTATAGACGGAAACCAGCTTGTAACCAGTGTACGTTTCGCCGTAGGTAGTATTGCAAGTTCAAATTTAAATGAACCTCTGCTGTACTAGAAGCAGTGGGGCATAACGTTTCACATAAATGCATTTCTGTGATCGGTCAGACCTGTGTTCTTGATTATTGGATTGAAGACAGCCATGAGATGGCTAATGAGCTAATCTCTTGACAACACTTCAGCACCGAAGGGTCTAATCACCACTGGATACTTGCATTGAAGACCTCTAGCAATACAATGCCCTCACATCTATAAATAAATGTATATTTAGGCTGACAAGTAACGCAAGTCTTCACATCTTGATAACCATCTTGCTCAACAAATCTTTTGAGATTTTCTTTTTCTTTTTTATTCATACCAAATAATGGGTTTTCGCTTGTCTGCAATTGTGCCTGCTAAGCAAGTTCTTCAGCTTTCTGCATTAGCAGCAAGCCAAGCAGCTTCAAATGTTTCGAAGGTCAGCCTTGCACCTGCAGCAAGCCAAGCAGCTTCAAATGTTTCAAAGGTCTGCCTTGCAGTTTATGTTGGAGAAATCCAAAAGAAGCGATTTGTAACTCCGATATCAGACTTGAACCAGCCTACATTTCAAGACTTGTTAATTCAAGCTGAAGAAGAATTCGGATATGTTCATCCAATGGTTGGTCTCACGATTCCTTGCAGAGAAGACATTTTCCTTGACGTCATTTCTTGCTTGAATCGGTCGCAGACAATGGCAAAGATCAATTTTAACACAGTTTTTTTCCCTCTGTGAGAACACATTGAAGAGGACATTTATCAGTACCATGTACAGACTATTGCTGATGCTTTATTTCTTCCTCAGTGAAATGAATATCGTTTCACAGTTTTGGAAAACTGTGTTATTAAAGTTTTGTCAACCTTCCAATTTGGTAATGACAAGCATTCATCATGGTTTTTGGTTTTTTTTTTAAAAAATTCATATCCTGTTCTATTGCGAATACCAGCTCCAACTCCAGTTGGCATGATCTTAATTCCGTCAGGTATGATATTATTTATCTTTGCATGAATTATGTTTCTCGACCACAAAATAATCAAGATATCTTCTTCTTAAACAATTCCACTCACCAAATCCTAATGTCGTCCGTACACAATAAGCCCATTGCCATACTGTACATTGACAAATATTTTCGTTAGTATGGAAAGTGTTATTACTGGAGTAATTCTTCCATTTAAAATAAGAAAGGATATTGGTGGTCGCCCGATCATTACAACAACACAATGAGATAACCTAGTAAAATAAGAAAAAAAATACTAATCCAAATTAGTCTTACTTCTTTCCTTTAAAATTATATTTTAAAATTTTATTTAATAACTTAAATTATTATATTAAAATAATTATTTAATATAATATTAAAACTTTAATAATCAATTAGTCATATTTTTTAATATCATTATTTTTATTTATTTAATAAAAATTAAACATAAAATAAAATAAATTTATACAAGTTTTAAACTCAAAAACTTTTAACTTGATAAAATATTATTACCTCACCTAATAAACTAAAATTAAAAGTCATGGGCTCTTAATAAAATGACTCAGGAATTACACACTAGATATTGTCAATAGATGTTGTCAATAGTTGGTGTTTATGAGTATTGTAGATATTGTTTTCAAATGTTTTTATTTATAAATATATTAAAATAATATTTTTTTAATTTTATTTTTATTATTATCATTTTAAAACTATTTATAAACATTAAAAAAATTAATTTATAAAAAAACAATTTAAATTTTAATAAAAAAAATAAGTGGCGCCGGAAACAGGAGTAGTAAACAGTCCTGAGCTTAAAGAGGTTGGTTGTCATGGGGACAAGTCGTGAGCTTCATTTGTATTTCAAGGTGCTTGTATTGTATAAGTGAACTGGTCATGAAAAGCTGGAATTTCATTGGTGCTGCTTCAACCATATTTTTGGTGCATAACAGGTTGTAATGTTTGTTACAGTTTACTTATCTCGTTATTTATTTGTTGATGATGCTTGTCATTCCTGATCAAAACATACAAATTTTGCTGAAAATTTGTAAATTATTAATTTATCATTGAAAGCATTAAAGTCTTGACCTTATTTATTTGTTGATGATGCTTGTCATTTAACTACAGCAAATTATTAAAGTCTTGATCCTTTACCTTAGCGGAATTGCTGTAGTTAATTGCTTCACCCAAATCATGAGTTAAATTTATGCAGAAGAAGAGAAGCCTTGATCTTTACGCAAATGGATTATTTTTTTGTCAATTTTGGCACATGCTAGATGAAAAAGTGGTCTCCAGGCTAAAGCTGGTCCAGTAACATCCGATACACGCAGGTCATTAAGGCAGGTTGAGCATCGAAAGCCCTTCAACAATGGTCCCTGAAAATTACCAATTTCCACTCAAATCCGCTGTCTCAACTTAATGACTTCATTTCGAAAGTGCCTTCCCCCCCGTACGGTAGTCCTTCTCTCCTTTATGGCAAGTGGCGATGGAGACCAAATGCAGGACAAGATGCATAGTAACGAAAGTTGGTGCACCGAATTAGCAGAGGGTGGAAAGTGTTTCTACAGGTATGCCATTTGAATGATCTTTTTCATTGCAGAGTTAACATGTTGCATGCGTTTTATGAATTTTTCTTATTTGTTTTGGCTTCATGTAATTTGTGGTGCTCAATTAAAAATAAATCTGATATGCTTAATTATGCTCCGCTAAGCATTTTAGCTCCTTGCTATACCTTGTCAGCTTCACCCACCAATTTTTTTGTTCATGAAAAGAGATTCTGAGGAGCTCTATCTTCCAACATTTTACTGAACACAGGTTTACCTATTACTATTTTATGTTGACAGTAAACAGTACTAGGAATGTACCTGCAGGCAAGGGCGGAGCCAGGAATCTTCTTTATCCTGGGCTAAGAACAAATAAATATAAATTGTTTTTG